TTATCACTCACACATTTTATTTTATACCCACTGAAGGAGTTTTCAGACTTAGTTACACTTACTTTTATCATTTATCATTCTTAGACGTTCAAAATGAGGAAAATATAAGCAAAATAAATAACGTTAAGATCTTCATATTGGAGTCCAACTCTTCTAAATCACCTTACAATTCAGAGTCTTTGATATTTATTCTTGCCATCAAGAGGTGGTAGTATGTAACATTTCAAGAAATAGTTTCTACCATTCTCTCTGGCATTTTCTTCTACGCCACTGACACATAATCGGAAAGTTTTGCTGCTGAAATGTTCTTACTTTACCAGAAGTTAACAACAGAAAGTTTTCAGCAACAATCAAGACTCCTATTTCTTCCTCAAAGGGTCCTTAAATGGCTGTTAACTAAAACGCTAAGGAATCACAGGTAACCAAGTTCAAGCAAGAGCAATTAGAAGATGCCATTGACTGTAAAACATACTCTACTTACAGAAATGTGAAAATGTAAAAAATCTGCACCTCAGAATCAACAAACATGGTATTTCACAATCAAAGAAGATTTATTTCAGGAATACGAGAATAGTTTAACATTAGAAAACGTATTAAAGTAGGTAACCACATTAACACATTAAAGAAAAAAACTCAAAGCATGCAGAAAAGCATTTGATAAAATTCAACAATCATAAATTTTTTTAAAAACCTCTTAGCAAAACAGAAATACAAAGGAACAGACTTAACCGTATACAGCTGACTACCTGCCAAGATTCCACAGTAAAAACAAACAAAAGAATGGTAAAATGCTAAAAACATCCTCTTTAAAGGCAAGAACAGGAATAAACGTGACTGCTATCATTGCTTCCATCCAATATTCTACAAAAGGTCTTAGGCAGGGGCTTCCCTGGTGGGGCAGTGGTCTGGGAAGATCCCACATGCCACAGAGCAACTGGGCCCATGCGACACAACTACTGAGCCTGCGCTCTAGAGCCTGTGAGCCACAGTTACTGAAGCCCGCGCGCCTAGAGCCCATGCTCCACCAGCAAGAGAAGCCACCGCAATGAGAGGCTCGAGCACCGCAACGAAGAGTAGCCCCCGCTCGCCACAACTACAGAAAGCCCACGCGCAGCAACAGAGATCCAACACAGCCATAAATTAATTAATTAATTAATTAATTAAAAAGGTCTTAGGCAGCTCAATAAAACAGGAAAATACTAGAGATAGTACAAGGAGTGGAAAAGAAGAAAGAACTAACCTGTTATTATCAACCCAGATAATCCAAAATAAACTACAAACTATTGCACTAATAAGAGAGTTCAGCAAGGTTATGAAATATAAAAGCCAATATATTAAAGCCCATAGAGGGTCTATAGTACAGCAATGAACAATTAAAAATATAATTTTTATAAAAGATGGTATTTATAATAGCTTCTAAAAAAAACATAGGAATAAATTTAATCAAACATGTAATGCATTTTTATAGAAAACACTTAAAACTTCATTGAAAACATTTAGTAAAAAAAAAACTGAAGCACTAAGATATCAATAAAGTGATATATAAAATATTTATGAGTGGAAGGAATATATATATCTATTTCTACCAGAAATAATCTATAAAGTCATTGAAATTCTAATCAAAACATATAACTCAACAAGCTGATCCTAAAAGAGGGAAGAGAGATCTCGGAATAGCCAAAACAATTTTGAAGAAAATAAAGAAGGGGTTGGGGAACTCAACCTACCATGCATCAAGACTTTATATAAAGTTCTAAGAATTAAAACAATGTGTATTGATATAGTAACAATTATCAGTGCAACAGAACAAAATATTTAAACCAGAAACAAACCCAAGTAAAGAAAAATTCAGGGACTTCCCTGGTGGCACAGTGATTAAGAATCCACCTGCCAGTGCAGGGGACACGGGTTCAATCCCTGGTCCGGGAAGATCCCATGTGCCGCGGAGCCAACTGAGGCTGTGTACCACAACTACTGAGCCTGTGCTCTAGAGCCCGCGAGCCACAACTACTGAGCCCACATGCCACAACTACTGAAGCCCGCACACCTAGAGCCCATGCTCTCCAATAAGAGAAGCCGTTGCAATGGGAAGCCCACGCACCGCAATGAAGAGTAGCCCCCGCTCTCTGCAACTAGAGAAAGCCCACGCGCAGCAACGAAGACCCAACGCAGCCAAAAATAAATAAATAAATACGTAAATAAATAAATTTATTTAAAAAAATCAAAGAATATCTCTAGGTAGTCCTTTTTCTAAGGAGAAAGGGTGGGAAAAGCATCTGATAAGGAGGAGGTAAGGGACAGTGGCAATTTAACAACATCCATACTTTCTTATTTCTTTACAGAAAATCTGAAGCAAACATGACAAAACTTTACTATTTTTTAAAGCTAGGTGGAGGGTACAAAGGTGTTTATTATATTTTTTCTGTCCTTTCAGTATATTTTAAGTATTTCACAATTTAAACATTTTACATAGAAAAGGTCTGGGAATATGCATGATATACCCATTTTTAAAGCCCTATCCTATAAAATAAGGACAGAGTCTAAAAAAGATGTTTGTTTATAATGGGGAAAAACTGAAAACAGAATTAGCTAAACAAATTGCAGAACAGCCACACAATGAAATGTCACATAACCACGAAAAAATTATAGTTCAGAAGTGTAGTTATTAACTTGGCAAGATGGTGACAACACATTAAATGGGAAAAAAAAAAACAAACTATAAAACTATAGGCTTTTGGGCTTCCCTGGTGGCGCAGTGGTTGAGAGTCCGCCTGCCAATGCGGGGGATGCGGGTTCGTGCCCCAGTCCGGGAGGATCCCACATGCCCCGGAGCGGCTGGGCCCGTGGGCCATGGCCGCTGACCCTGCACGTCCGGAGCCTGTGCTCCGCAGCGGGAGAGGCCACAACAGTGAGAGGCCCGCATACCGTAAAAAAAAAGAAAAAAACTATAGGCTTTCAACTAAGGCATTAAATGGTTAAATGAACTTTGCCCCACATGCACCAGCAGGCCAAGGTTCTATTAATGCACTTGCCATGTTTTAATCTCATCAACTTGCTTCCATGGACAGAAGTTAACTACAAGGAGCTTAATAATAATAAAAAGTACAATAGATTAGTGTTTTGAATAAGAAAGATATTGCTATAATACTGATATAGAATAGCAGCATTCAAAGCCAAAAAAAATTATTTCTCAGTGTTGGTGCCAACAATCCCAGCCTTTCCAGATGAGACCTGTTCTATCTAATCATCCAGTCAGAGAACTACCAGAGTTAGCACAGTAGTGTAAATTGCTAATCATGTATAAGAAAGAGCCAGGTAAAATAAAATAAACTATATTCAAAATAAACTGTCAGGTATCAGTGAAACAAAGCTATACTAACAAAGTGATGCCATATTTATTAGAGAAAAGAGTGGCAGCAAGAAGTTACTAAAGGCATTTTGAGAGAATAAAACATTTTGCCCCGTTACATTTATACCCACTGATAAATTGGAAATTGACTTGGGTACTCTAAAACCTGTGCTCCGTATTTTGTTCATTAAAAGTTGCCCAAGGGACTTCCCAGGCGGCACAGTGGTTAAGACTCTGAGCTCCCAATGCAGGGGGCCTGGGTTCGATCCCTAGTCAGGGAACTAGATCCCACATGCAAGCTGCAACTAAGAGTTCGCATGCCACAACTAAGGAGCCCGCAAGCCACAGCTAAGACCCGGGGCAACCAAATAAATAAGTAAATATATATTTTTTTAAAGTTGCCCCAAAACATCTAAGAATCACAACAGATTCTATTTTATGAAAACTGCAATAGCATACTAAAGGAAAATTGTTTCCTCTACTCACAATCTTTTAATATCAAATGTGTGGGGATTTTCCCACACCAACCAATTCTCCAACTCTCCAGACACAACTGGGTGTCCTACAATTCAATTCTGACACTAACTACTGGGAGTTAGCATAGACCCCACAGAACTGAGCCCCACAGGCTCAGTTCCACAAGACTGTCCTCCACTTCAGACGCCAATGAACAAGTGGTGGGTCCCCATGTTACCCACACTTCTGTCCAACTTCTGTTCCCATGACCCCCCTCCTCATGTTTGATAATTTGCTATACCAGCTCACAGAACTCGGGGAAACACTTACTTACATTTACCAGTTTATTATAAAGGATATTATAAAGAATATAAATAAACAGCCAGATGCAGAGGTATACAGGGCGATAAGAGTCCTGAGTATAAGAGTTTCGGTCTCCATGGAGTTGGAGTCCACCACCCTCCTGGCACATGGATATATGTTCACCAACCTGGAGGCTCTCCAAACCCCATAGTTTAGGAATTTTTTTATGGAGGCTTCATCATGTAGGTATAACTGATTAGTAACTCAGTCTCCATACCCTTTTCCTTCCGTCCCAGGGCGGGGAGGCTTAAAGTTCTAACCCTCTAATCACATGGTTGGTTCCTCTGGAGACTAGCCCCCAACCTGAAGCTATCTAGTGGCCCATCAAGAGTTACCTCATTAGCATACAAAAAGATACTCGTTAATTCCAGAGATTTCAAGGGTCTTAAAAGATCTTATGTCAGGAACCAGGACCAAGACTAAATATTATAATAAAAAATGTTCCTGTCACCCCTATTGCTCAGGAAATTACAAAGGTTTTAGCAGATCTTGTGCCAGGAACTGGGGATAAAGACCAAATATAGGACTTCCCTAGTGGCACAGAGGTTAAGAGTCCACCTGCCAGTGCAGGGGACACAGATTTGATCCCTGGTCCAGGAATATTCCCCATGCCATGGAGCAACTGAGCCCATGTGCCACAACTACTGAGCCCACGCACCATAACTACTGAAGCCCGTGCGTCCTAGAGCCCATGCTCCGCAACAAGAGAAGCCACCGCAATGAGAAGCCTGTGCACCGCAACGAAGAGTAGTCCCCACTTGCCGCAACTAGAGAAAGTGCACGAGCAGTAACAAAGACCCAACGCAGCCAAAAATAATAAAATAAAATAAAATAGGCCAAATATATATTTCTTATTATATCATAATATCACACATACAGTAAAGGGTAGGGAGTTAGAACTTCGAGGGAAAAATACTTTCATTAATATTATTTGCTGTGAAAGTATTTCTTGTGTTCTTTATACCTTGATGAAATACTTCTGAGACTTATAAGACCACCAAATACAAACTGCATTTATTGTGTAAAAATTAAGAATGGCTCAGGCTCTGTAATGGTAGTTGGATGTAAGATGTGCTAAGTCTCAGCTTCTAGAAGAGTTGATTTTGAACTCAATCACCCTTTGAGAGAAGACATACCAGCTTGCATAATTTCATCAACCAGGAGAATGTTGGTGGCAATCACTGTGCTGAGGGAAAAGATGACAGGGTGAGTAAAGCTTACCAGTCCACTCTTATCTTTCCCCCCCAGAAATCTTCAGCTACTAATGACACTTTGTTCTGCAATGATGTTGGTGTGAGATAAGACATAGCTATTATAAATACAAACATCACCCCTTGCATTATAATTTCAACTCATTTGCTGATAAAGTAGAAGCCTAATTTTATATTCCAGCAAAACTGAGCTCATTTTTAGTACATCATTTGATCTTTTTCCCACTATGCATGTGGTACTATTTCAGTAAATGTCCTTCTTTCCCTTCTCCCTCAAATAAACAGTAAGATTAACATTTCCTATAACTTACACTGATAGAACTAAAATCTAAAAGGGACTGTAAAATGACAGAAGCTAGTCTTAATAACTGGATACCATGCCTTTTCATACTTAGCCATTTTCCACTGTAGCAGGCAAAAATAATAGAAAAATCTTAATGTTATCAATTATGTCCTTAAAAGTCTTTCTCTTTTTATTAATACAAACTTACCAAGAGTGAAGAAGTTGGTTTTTCACAAAATAATTATCCCAAACTCCTGCATCTGCTGCTACCATTGGCTCACCTGCAAAGGAAAAACAAACTATTTCAATACAATCTTGATATATTCTGTTAATATTGGCTGTATATTCTAAAAATATTTAATATACCACCAAAATTACTATTATCAAGGTCACCAATGACCTCCATGGTATCAAATCCAAAGGTCAATTCTCAGACCTCATCTATCAGCAGCACTTAACTAACACAGCTGATCACACCCTCCCAACCGCTCTTTCTTCACTTGTCTTCCAGGACATCACACTTGCCTGGTTTTTTTCTTTTGCACTAGTGGTTCCTTTTCTGTCTACTTTGCTGGTTCTTCCTCTTCCTCCTGAGCTCTTAATGTTAGAGTACCCAAAGGCTCAGTCCTGCATTCTTCTCTCTCTACGCTCACTCCCTAGATGATCTCATCCAATCTTCTAGATTTAAAGCATATACACTCTGACGACTCTCAGGTTTTTATCTCCAAGCCGGACCACTTTCCTGAGCTTCAGACTTGTACATCCAACTGTCTATTTTAAAGTCTCCAGATACTTCAAACTTAACTTTGCCAAAACTCAATGCTGACCTCCGGCCACCACAACATGCTCTACCCACAGTCTTCTCCAATGCAGTTAATGGCAATTCCAATGGCAATTCCTTCCAGTTGTTCAGTTGACTACTCTCCACAGAGTAGCAAGAGTGATCCTTTTAAACATATTTAGACCATGTCACACCTCTGTTCAAAATTGCTCCCTATTCCACCACAGAAAAAGTCAAACTCTATACACTGGCCCACACGCCCTCGCGTGATCTGACCTTCTATTACCTCTCTCATCTCCCTCCTCCTCGAAAACACCAGACAGTGGCTTTTCCACTAGCTGTTCCCTCTGCCTAGGACATTCTTTCCCTAGTTCCCACGTGGAACTTTCGTTGATTTTGTTCAACAGATATTCTCAATGAGGCCTATCCTGACCACCCTCTTCCCATTGAAACCCCCTCCCCACACTCCTGTGCTAGCATTCACAATCATCCTTACACTGTCCCTTTATTTTTTTCACAGAATTTATTACCTTTAAAAATGTTAAAGGAACTTATTTATTAAGGTTATTATTTACTGCCTATCTTTCCCTGCTACAACATAAGCTCACAAGGGAAGGGTCTTTGTTTTGTTCTGTGTGAATCCCGAGTCAAATAACAAGCACTCAATAACTATTTCTTAAGTGAATGAATACTTGCTTCTAAGAAGTTCAAAAGTAAAACAAAGGCACCCAAAATTTAAATATAAACGTCATCCAGGGCTTCCCTGGTGGCGCAGTGGTTGAGAGTCCGCCTGCCAATGCAGGGGACGCGGGTTCGTGCCCCGGTCCGGGAAGATCCCACGTGCCGTGGAGTGGCTGGGCCCGTGAGCCATGGCCGCTGAGCCTGCGCGTCCGGAGCCTGTGCTCCGCAACGGGAGAGGCCACAACAGTGAGAGGTCCACCTACCCAAAAAAAAAAAAAAAAAAAAAAAAAAAAAAGCCATCCAAACCTCCACCCCCTTACTTAAGTTCTGGGTCACTGTAGTATAACCTCTTTTTTTATTAAGCAGCTGATTTTTCTTTACTTTCTTACCTGTATTCAAATCTATGCCAACAGGTTGTTTTTGTTTTTTTTTTCAACAGGTTGTTTTGATTCTGAATGCTCAACCTGAACTTTCACTAGTGTTTCCTGCAGGTCATATCCAGAATTCTGAGCAAGAACCTTTAGGAATAAAAAATAATAATAAATATATGTATGGAATTCCTTCATATATGTTTAAATATCAGATATAAAAAATAAGGCACTGCTCTCCAGTCTTATGAAAACACATCCATAATATAGTAATCATCTCCTTTTGAAGAATTCCATTCTTAATCTAAATCAAGTTATTTCATGTACCTAGTAACTTTTATATTTAAACATTTTCCCTATGTACATCACACTAAATTCTGACGAAGACTAATTAGAGTTTCCCCACCCCACCCTGCTACATTAATTTCCCTCTGTTAGGGAACCGTGGACTGAAACCACTGTTTGCATAAGTTGTCTCACAACAGGAGGTCCTGATAAGGAACACTGAACTGACAAGGTGCCTCCAAAACCAACCAGAAGAATTTGGGAGGGGCCAAAAAGAGGGAGGAGACACCAGCCCATAATATGTCCTGACAACCTCCCAGAAATCCTCATGCTGGAATCCATCTTGACTGAGAGATGTGCACGCCCACCAGGAAGGTTCTTGAGTCGGGCCAAATATGGCACAAGCAAGATGATTAGCCAGAGACAACCTGGAAACCAACTCCAGCACCATAAAACCTGAGAGTGCAAGCCACGAGGCAGAGCAGCTCTCCTGGGTTCCCTTACCCTGCTGTTCTCTGCTCGAGCACCCAAGTCTTTTGCTTTATCAGTATGTGTGTCTCCTCGGACAATTCATTTCCGAGTGTTAGACAAGGGTCCCCGAAGGGGTCCCTCTCCGGTAACACCTCCTTGCAAAAGATTTTTTTTAAAATGGAAGGAAGTAGAATGGTATTCTTGTTTGCTTAGTCCCTCTAGCCACATGTTTTCTGGTTTTTCCTGGGCACTTGTTAAATCTGCCTATCTGCATTATATCTGTGCCCCTCATTCACATGAGGAGAGTTATGACCTGTGGCAACAGGGATGGAGATAACCTGCACTCCAAGCGAGGTTTATTTCCAAGTGGTCCTAAACCAACAGCTGATGAGTGAAAAGGTACCACCAAATGTCTACCAGATTTACCAATATTTGTCAACTATAGGATCGTTAATGACTTTGCCTCTTCAGGGGAAGAAAAAAATGGATATCCAATGCACAAAGATTCAACAAATTATTAATAATTTTAAAGCAACTATCAGAGACTTTGCTAGCATTGTTAGTAATGTTTTAATTCATGGTAATAGTATATTTGAAAGAGTTCTCTGCGTTTCCAAGTAGTTCACAATCAGATTAAGGCAAAGGAAACAAATGGTAGTTCTCTGTCCTTCTGTTGATACATGGAAAAAAACTGGTTTCTCTCCTTTTCTAGGAATTATAATGACAATGACAAATGCAAGCCTGAAGTTCTCACTTCCCATAATTTAAAGTGCTAATACTTTGGATACCACCAACATAATAAAGGTCTACTCAAAATCTAATTAAATTTTACGTTCTACACTTCTTCATTATGATTAATCATGAACCATTTTTGAAGGAAATTTTTGGAGTTACTTCAACTTTTGGAGCTCAGAAACGGAAGCAAAGTGATAATTTAGCCATTTCATGAAACTCCTACAAGAATTCAGAGCTGTTATCCTAAAAACTTCCCTGCTTTAGCTATATAATATCTTAAAACTGTGTAGGGAAATACAAATACCTATCTTTCTACTCTACTGTTATACATAAAATGGGCAATTTAAAATTAATTAGACACCTTTTGTCTAAACAGTTGTTCTTTGGCCATTAGGATAGTTCTACCTTAGGGATAATGAGTAAAGCATCAGCAAAAGCTTGGACTCCAAGACGAGCTCCTTTTATACTGTGCTTGTATGTAACTAGAGCTTCAGCTATTGCCACTTCAACTGCACCCGCTCCTGGAACCACACAACCTATTGGAGGGAAAAAAATGATTGGCAAGACATACCACACAGAAGAAACAGAGAAAAAAGCAACTAGCTATTCATGTTCTATTATCTTGCCTGCCTCTAAAATGTATTTAAATATATACAGAAATAAAATAAGTTGCGTAACTCAGCGATCACTCAGATGTCTTATGAAGCATCCTGAAGTTATACACCATTAAACAATTAACATAGTACAGACAAGAGCTGGCTACAGTTTACTTCATTGTTTACAGAGTAGACATTTCTTCCACCATCATCCTTCTCCTTTATGACTATATTTAAAAGGTAGTTATTTATAATTTATGGTGGCAGGTAACTAATTATTCCATCTGATTTGAAAAAAATGTTAGGCCAACATAATTTGGCCATAGTTTTTGGTATGGAATTCTCAGGACTCAAGGAAGTATTTGCTTTCTGTACTGAAGCAGAAGCCAAACTTTCTGAGAAAAAAAAAAAATTTGGTGTTCTTATTATTCTAAATCAAAAGCTCTGGTTAAACATGTCAATTTTCACATCAGGATATGACTCTTATACCTGCTGGTATGGCTCTATAAAGTTTTTGAATTTGCAAACTTTGAATCAGTAAACTTGGTTTGGAATCACCCATCTTTAAAACAAAACAACACAAAAAGAGTCTCTCCTTTTATTCCACATCATTTTTAAATTACTACCCCCTTTCTCGGCTTCACTGTACAATATAACTGCTCAAGAGAGTTATGTCTACCCACAAGGTAATTACATCCTCACCTCCCATTCACACTTTTTAAAAATTCCTTGTTAAATACTGAATACATACAAAAGAATATTTACATGTATAAGATATAAAGAATGTACAAATAAATGCACCCATGTACCTACCACCCAGCTTAAGAAACAGAAAATTACCAGTAGCTTTGAAAACTTCCCTGATCCCATTCTCCTGTGAAAACAGAACATACCAAAATGTGTGGGATACTACTAAAGCAGTACCTGAAGAGAAATTTATATCACTAAACACCCATACTAGAAAAGCAGAAAGGTCTCAAACCAATGACCTCAGCCTCCACCTTAAGAAACTATGAAATTTAACGTAAGCAGAATAAAGAAGACAGTTAAGATCGGAGTGGAAATCAATGAAATAAAAATGACCAATGTCAGAAATGAAAATGGTGTAGAATCTGTCACTACAGATTCTACAGATATTAAAGGATAATAGGGGAATATTATGAACAATTTTATGCCAATAAATTTGAAAACTAAGATCAGGGATTGGCAAACTTTCTGCAAAAGGCCAGAAAATAAATATTTTAGGCTCCGTGGACCATACCATCTCTTTTGCAACTATCCAATTATGCTAGCATAGCACAAAGTCACAGACAATACATAACAAATGGGAGTAACTGTGTTCCAATATAACTTTATTTACCAAAAATAGGCAGCAAACCAGATTTAGCTCATGGGCAGTATGATCTTAACTTAGATGAAGTAGAAAAATTTCTTGAAAGACACAAAGTACTAAAGCTCACTCAAGAAAAATAAACAACCTGAATGATCCTGTATCTATGAAAGAGATTAAATTTGTAGTTTAAAATCTTCCCATGAAGAAAACTCCAGGTATAGAAAGCTTTACTGGTGAATTCCACCAAACATTTAAGGAAAAACTAACACCATTTCTATATAAGAATTCAACACTTTCAGAAAATTAAAGAGGAAAGAATACTTTCTGAGGCCAGCATTACTCTAAAAGCAAAAAAGATAAAGGCATTACAAAAATATATATATACAGACCAACACCCCATATGAATGTAGATGCAACAATTCTTAACAGAATTATAGCAAATTAAATCCAACAATATAGTAAAAAAAAAAAAAGACACAGCAAGCCACATTATTCAAATAGTCAAAAGGTGAAGAAACCCAAGTTTCCATCAACAGATGAACGGATAAATAAAATGTGGTACATACATACAACGGAATATTATTCAGCCTTAAAAAGGAAGGAAATTCTGTAACATGCTACAACATGGATGAACCCTGAAGACATTATGCTAAGTGAAATAAGCCAGTCATAAAAGGACAAATATTGTATGATTCATTCCTATAAAGTACATAGAATAGTCAGATTCGTAAAGACAGAATGTAGAATGGTGGTTTCCAGGGGCTGGGGTGAGAAGAGAATGGAGAGCTATTGTTTAATGGGTATAGAGTTTCAGTTTTTCAAGATGAAAAATGTTTGTGATGGATGGTGGTGAAGGTTGCACAATGTGAATGTACTTATGGCCACTGAACTGTACACGTAATGGTTTAAATGACAAAAAAAAATCCAAAATTAAAAAAAAAATTTAATTATTTCTAAAACTTTAATCCATTTTTAAAAAGATAATACATCATAACTAAGTAAGGTTTATCCAAGAATGATTTGAAAATCAATGTAATTTAGTACATTAAGAAACTAAAAGAAAAACCATATGATCACCTCAATAGATGCAGAAAAAGCATTTCACAAAATCCAACATCTATTCTTTTTTTTTCTTAAACATCTTTATTGGAGTATAATTCCTTTACAATGGTGTGTTAGTTTCTGCTGTATAACAAAGTGAATCAGCTATACATAAACATATATCCCCATATCTCCTCCCTCTTGCATCTCCCTCCCATCCTCCCTAACCCACCCCTCTAGGTGGACACAAAGCACCGAGCTGATCTCCCTGTGCTATGCGGCTGCTTCCAACTAGCTATCTATTTTACATTTGGTAGTGTATATATGTCCATGCCACTCTCTTACTTCATCGCAGCTTACCCTTCCCCCTCCCCGTGTCAAGGCCATTCTCTACTTCTGCATGTTTATTCCTGTCCTGCCCCTAGGTTCTTCAGAACCTTTTTTTTTTTTTAGATTCCATATATGTATGTTAGAATATGGTATTTGGTTTTCTCTTTCTGACTTACTTCACTCTGTATGATAGTCTCTAGGTCCATCCACCTCACTACAAATAACTTAATTTCCTTTCTTTTTATGGCTGAGTAATATTGCATTGTATATATGTGCCACATCTTCTTTATGCATTCATCTGTCGATGGACACTTAGGTTGCTTCCATGTCCAGGCTATTGTAAATAGAGCTGCCATGAACATTGGGGTACATGACTCTTTTTGAATTATGGTTTTCTCTGGGTATATGCCCAGTAGTGGGATTGCTGGGTCACATGGTAGTTCTAGTTTTAGTTTTTTAAGGAACCTCCATACTGTTCTCCATAGTGGCTGTATCAATTTACATTCCCACCAACAGTGCAAGCGGGTGCCCTTTTCTCCACACCCTCTCCAGCATTTATGTTTCTAGATTTTTTGATGATGGCCATTCTGACCGGTGTGAGGTGATACCTCATTGTAGTCTTTTGGGGGTTTTTTTGTGGGGTTTTTTTTGCGGTATGCGGGCCTCTCACTGTTGTGGCCTCTCCCGCCACGGAGCACAGGCTCCAGACGTGCAGGCCCAGCGGCCATGGCCCACGGGCCCAGCCACTCCGCGGTATGTGGGATTCTCCTGGACTGGGGCGCGAACCTGCGTCCCCTGCATCGGCAGGCGGACTGCCAACTACTGCGCCACCAGGGAAGCCCCCTCATTGTAGTTTTGATTCGCATTTCTCTAATGATTAGTGATGTTCAGCATCCTTTCATGTGTTTGTTGGCAATCTGTGTATCTTCTTTGAAAAAATGTCTATTTAGGTCTTCTGCCCATTTTTGGATTGGCCAACACCTATTCTTGATAAAGATTCTCAGCAATAAAAGAGAACTTCCTCAATTTGATAGCAGATGTCTATGAAAAACCTACAACTAGTTTCACACATAGTGGAAAAAGACTGAATGTTTTCTCCCTAAGATCAGGAAAAAGGAAAGGATGCCTACTCTCACCATTTCTATTCAACATTGTATTGAAGGTTTTAGCCCATGAAATAAGGGGTAAAAAGAAATAAAAGATATCCATATTGGAAAGAAAGAAGTAAAACTGTCTCCATTAACAAGACAACATTATCATTTATATAGAAAATTCAATGAAATCTATAAGAAAGCTACTAAAATAAGTGAGTTTAGCAAGGTTGCAGAGTTCAAGATCAATATACAAAAATCAACCATATTTTTATATATTAACAACTAACAATCAGAAATTGAAATCTTAAAAATACTATGTACAGTAGGATCAAAATACATGAAACACATAAGGATAAATCTGAAAAAAAGTTGTGACTTAGTATACTCACATACTAAAAAGTATAAAATATTGCTGAGATAATTCAAGAAGGCCCAAATAAACAGAAAGATGTACCATGACTCAATATTGTTAAAATATCAATTATTCCCAAACTTATCCATAGATTCAGTGAAATTCCAGCCAAAATCCCAGCAGTTTTTTGGTAGGAATTGACAAGCTGATTCTAAAATTGATATGAAATGCAAAACATTTAAAATAATCAAAACAACTTGGAAAAGAACAAAATGGGAAGATTAACACTACAGATTTCAAGACTTATTATAAAGTTACTATAAACAAGGTAGAATGACATTAACACTGAGATAAACAGATCGATGAAATATAGAACCCAGAAACAGAACCACACAAATATGGACAACTAACTGATTTTCAACAAAAATGCAAAGGCAACTAAGTGAAAGGATAGTCTTTTCATCAAATAGAGCTGAAACAATTTGATACCTATACACAAAAAAACAAACTTAGATCCATACTTTGCAGCATATACAAAAATTAACTTAAAATGAATCACAGACCTAAATATAAAACCTAAGACTATAGCACTTCTAAAAGAAAACATAAAAGAAAAATTTTGTGACCCTGGGTTAGGTAAAGATTTTTTAGATACCACCCAAAAGCATAATCCATGAAAGAAAAAATTGATAAATTATACTTCATTGAAATTAAGAATTCCTCTTTGAAAGGCACTGTTATGAGAATAACAGAACTACAGAGTAGCAGAAAATGTCTGCAAATCATACATCTGAAAAGGTATTTGTATCCAGAATATACAAAGAACTCTCAAACTCAACAATAAGAAAACAACCCAATTTTTTAAAGTGCATGGGCTTCCCTGGGGGCGCAGTGGTTGAGAGTCCGCCTGCCGATGCAGGGGACGCGGGTTCGTGCCCTGGTCTGGGAAGGTCCCACATGCCGCGGAGCGGCTGATTCCGTGAGCCATGGCCGCTGAGCCTGCGCTCCGCAACGGGAGGGGCCACAACAGTGAGAGGCCCGAGTACAGCAAAAAAAAAAAAAAAAAAAAAAAAAAAAAGTGCAAAAGATTTGAACAGAAACTTCACCAAAGATATGTGGATAGCAAATAAGCACGTGAAAAGATGCTCAATATCAATGATCATTAAGAAAATCCAAATTAAAGTCACAATTTGGTTTTTTAAATTTTAGAATGGCTAAAATTAACATGAATGACCATATCCAGTGTTAGTGAGGAGGCAGAACAACTGGAATGTTCATAAATGGCTGGTAGGAATGTAAAATGATACATGGCAAAACAGTTCAGCAGCTTCTAAAAAGTTAAACATGTACCTTCCATAGTACTGCATTCCTAAGCATCTACCCAAGAGAAATGAAAGCATAGATCCATACAAAGAATTGTACACGAATGTTCATAGCAACTTTATTTGCAATAGCCAAGAACTGTAAACAACCAAATGTGCATCAATAGGTGAATCTGATTAAATAAATTGCAGTATATTCATATAATGGAATACTATCTAGCAATAAAATGAATGAACTACTGATTAATAACATCAATTAACTTTAAAATAATTATGGTGAGTAAAAGAAGCCAAACAAAAAAAAAGACTACATATTGTATTATTCCATTCATATAAGATTCTAGAAAATGCAAACTAATCTATAGCAACAGAAAGCTGACTGAAGGTTGCCTGAAGGTAGGG